CCCCACAATTTATTCTTGGCAATATCCCTGACAAATCAAGCTATGACCCCATTCCTTTTCAATCTTTTATACTTATCAATAAGCAGTTGAAGATTTTCCTTATACTCAAACGTAATAAAGGTTGAGAAGCAGAATCATAAATTCAGTTCTTACTGGTATTTCACCCAATTACAAGACATTGAACTGACTGAGAAAGCCCAACATTATTCATAAAGAAATTAAACCAACCAAAGGAGATTAATTCTTCGTGGAAATAATTTATTAGTATTTTTGTATACTCTCGTATTTCATAATAGAAAAGAAATATGTTACATTATATACATTCTGAGGTGAAAGTAACCCAAGAACATATTATAACCAAAGGTTTCTTTGTCCAATTCTGAAAAATAAATTCGTTTCTATTGCAAAACAACCGATTTATACAAAATCTTTATTTTGAAGTACCTTTCGACGCAGTATATTGAAATGAGATAAAAACACGTTAAAATGGTACTAGCTGCTATCACATGCTCTAAATATGTTATTGGAATACATGGATCCCACCACTCCAATACTGAACAAACATACACTGGGAAAAATATAATCCAACAGTACTAAAAGTGTTAAATTTTTGGTTACACGAACAGTCCCGAAGTGGCACTACGATATGTCTGCAGAGTTATACTGCTAGAAACAGGGATTAAATACCCGTGATGGGCAGAGCACAGATGTTCCTTTGTGTAGCTTTGTGCTTAATAACAAACAACAACAGTTACACGAACAAATGCTACAAAGCGCATTAAAACCAACTGTAATATATTCAGCAGGTTTTAGTTAATAGAGCTGTGTTATCAGGCCACATTGAAAATTGATAGAATTTTGCTTCTATCACATTAAACAACAGAAAACTCATTAATTGTGCTTCAAGAGCGTCGTATTACTCTGTTAAATAGCGTAATTACTCGCATATAAAGCGCACTTCTTTTGGGCACAAATATGAAGTGCGCGCTATACGAGAGAAGAGTACTCTTCTAGTGTTTTTCAGGTAAGATTTTCGATCGGAATTTTGACTAAATACATCGTATTCTCTGATGCAATCATCGTTTGTCGCTGTCGTAACATCAAAAGCAGAAGTAAAAAAAAACAACCACAACGAAGAGGAATGAACGTAATATTAAACATAGATACTTCGGAGCACAAGTTTAAAATTCCATGTCACGATCATCTTTCCAAACAACTTGTCCCATTCGTCCTGGGTGATTATGTCAAAATATTGTAAATCGTCATCTTTATCGACTTCAGAAAATGAGTTTACTATCATATGCTACAATACATTTACAGTAACGTTCAATCGTAGTTACTCTCCAATACCTTATGAACAAATAAAGGTTAAACTTATGACCAACAGTAATTTCTGTTTACATGATTTTAAACAATGCCCTGTACATAAGTAGTGCTGGTAAATGGTTAGCAATGGTATTCCCTTACAAGCGCGCGTACAATATACTGCTGAACACAACAATACACCACTGGCTACACAGAGCACAGAGCACAGATAGCTCATTGTGTAGCTTTGTGCATCAATTCAAACAAACATTAAAATACAAAACTCCTAACTTTGTAGGTTTGCCTTTAGGTTATTTATAAGAAAATATATTATTAATCGAAAAAGTCAAGTTGTTGTTGAATATTAAAGTGTAACTTAAATAAATAACAATATTTTTTGTTATTTTGTCATTGTGCTTTATACAAATTATTTAAAACATTCTTTTGTTTTTTTTAGCTTCCGGAGTGGTTTTCGGATGTTTCGTACTTTGCCAATTTCTTCGCCTATTTCAACAGCGCACTGAATCCAATCATCTATGGAGGGTTTAATAGTAACTTTCGGAAAAGCTTTTATGTCGTCATGAAGTGTGGATGTACAAATTCGCAGACTCAAAGGCGTCGTTATCTAGCCTCAGGTTACTGTAGTGCATTTGTTCTAAACTATAGATAGAGGATAAAGGATACCTGTACAAATAGTTACAAATACCCTCTTTCAGAAATCAGATTTTGGATTTTATATCACTTGTCATATAGGATAAGCTTGGGCTCTCGGAGGGACAGGAAATGATTTTTTCACAATTAATTATTTGATTAATTAATTCATATCCAGATGCTAAAATAAGCTTGTCTTTCCACAACAAATTACGTTGATTATTTTATATCCTTTAACAACTTTTTATACTCGGATCTGACGTTCGCCTTGCTATTCGAACACAATAAATTTAACTACAGCATTATTCGCGTTGTACACAGCACCGAACCATTACGTCAGTTTCTAGAATAAAAGATAAACAAAGAAATTAGGGCGTCAACACAGTAATGTTATTTATTAGTTTTCTAAGCCTTTAATTTGGGTTCACTTTGCCATTACTTTTAATGAGCAAAGACAATATTTCTCGTTTAACTGACACTAGGTAATAGTGGAGAATCGGTTTTCTCTCCTTGTTGAGGCTTTAAGGGTCCATTACAAGAAAGCCAATACAAGAATTCCAATAAGATACTTTAGTCCCATTAATCACAAAGCCGTGTCGTAAATTTGCTTTCTTCTATAACTCGGTAATCCTATTTTTTTAAATAAACTATTAATATTTACATTTTTGTATTGTACTTTGACCATTAATGAAGAATATCTCTATAAAGATACTCTGTGCTGTAATACCTGTCTTACAGTGGTAAAGATTTAGACATATGGCTAATAAAACTGACTCATAGAGCACTCCTGTTGTCGAGTATAAGTTCAACCTTGCAGACTTTAATCAAATCAGTAACAAAAATATTTCCTTAATATATATTTGTTGTTTTAGTTCTGAATATTGAAGTGTTCAAATACACCCTGTCCGATTTATTTTACATTTGAAGTCAATGTTGATTTGTTTGTACATTAAAACAAACTGCATCCCTCAAATTATGGTATTGCACCTATAAGTCAGATTAATAGAAATGAAAAACCAACCTTTTATGCTTTGCAGAAATTCGAATTTATGAACTTGAAAGTTTTAATTCAAAATGGAAGTGTAATTTTCCCTCTAAACTTAATATATAACGATTATAAAAAGTACGTTTTTCAATTATCAGTAATAAAACACGGGGTTTTAATACTATAGCAAGAAAAATGAATTATAAAGATTAGCAAAATAATTATGTAAAAATTGAGAATTGAAAATCAATTGTAAAAACCTTAATAAGATCATCAGAGAAGTATCTTAGCTTTATTATATTCCAAGATGTACGAACAGGACTTCATAATCTTGGTGGATTTAGTTTTATTTTCAACCCAGCGAAATTCCTACTAGCCTCTGAAGTTATTGACAACAAAATCCATGATACATTAACGTTTGATTGTAATATCAGATCTACGGACTGTTTCCAATAACATTATAATAAGATCATCAGATCTATACTTTAACTTTATTACATTCCAAGACATACGAATATACTTGGTAGGATTTAGTTATACTTTTAGCACAGTGATATCCCCACTAGCTTCCGAGGTTATTGATACATTAACGTTAGATTGTCATCTCAGATCCGCGGGTTACTGGATCTGAAATTACAATCAGATTCAATTACTTAAGTCCAGATTTAATTATTAGGCAGATTTTGTTAAACAAGACCGATGTCTGTAGGTTTATTTTCTTCTTAGAATTCTTCTCAAGAAGTCGATAAGCCGTCTTAACGTTGTTAGAACAATGGGTAAAAGTTGTAGCTAGTGTAGAGTTGGCCGACGCGTTTCGAATGCGTTCTGCATCCATTATCAAGGCTGAATGTTGTGTGAATTGTGATTACTGTTGGTGGATATTTATAGGTATGGGTAAGCAGGTGGTGGAATCTAGCTCGTGGAAGGCGTTAATTGGTGGAGTGTTGTATTGTGGCTTGGGGGTTTCTCGCCAAGAAGTAGCAGTGTGCGTGCTGTTCCTGTCGATTGTTTGTTGATTATGGGAGTTTGATGTAGGATTTTTATTGCTTCGTGTATTTGAAGAGTTGTGAAGTCGTTAAATCGGCGGTTTACTTTGGTGTTTTATACTAGGTCCTGACGTGTGAGTTTTTGGTTGTGGATGCGGGCACAGTGTTCTTTGATGGCTCCATTTTGCTTATCGACTTCTTGAGAAGAATTCTAAGAAGAAAGTAAACCTAAGACATCGGTCTTGTTTAACAAAATCTGCCTACAAGAAAATTTAATTATTACTAAACCAATGTTTCTTCATCCCTGTTTGATATCTTAACACATGATGTATGTGTTTTTGAATATAGAACCAAATAACAATAAAATGCAACTTCTTCTTTGAAACATAATAATACTATCACGTTGGAAGTTATTCTCTTAATTTAAAATTTATTACCATTTGCTAGTTTATCATCATTATTTTATTTTTCAAGTATATAATATTTAATCCACGGTCGTCCTTCACTTCAGACACTAGGCAAGTGTAATGTTTTTCTTATGTTATTTATCAATTCTATTAAATTTATCTGGTGAAATGTAAACCGCGTGTAAACTCTTTACTTGGTATGTTAATAGTGAGGACTTCCTCGTGTTGTTAAAATATATTATATTTTATAAACTACTTAATGGAATCCTATATCATATCGACCGTCAGATTGTTTACTTATTATTCACCAGCATATAATTAGTTAATATTGGTAATTTACTGAAAGACTTAATACATTAAAATCATCTGAACACAAACTGAATATTATTAAACCCTTTCGATTTTAGCTGTAACATGTGTTAACTTTAAAATGAAATTTAATACACAAATCAAAGTAAAGTGTAAATGAAGATCAATAATATTACTTCACATTTCCACACACAGGAGGCATCTATAGGCCTTAGCCTAACCAAACAAAAATTAATCGATTTAATTACATCAGTTCTCACTAAAGCAATATTACTGTTTGGAGAAGATCCAAAGTGAACAACAAACGATATTGCATGTATATATTATACTGCTTCTCACTAGAAAATGACCAACGATGTAGCTATTAATAAGTTCATAACATCCTTCCATTGCAGCCATTTTATTAATTGGTTAAAACATGTTTTACATTTAAAACGCCATTTAAGGAGCAAAGCAAATCTATTATAATTTTGAATAAGAAGTTGTTTTTTTAATTTTTTGAATATTAGTTTGTTTGCTTTTTTTTTTCATAACTCACTATTCAAAGGAAATCCCAATAAACATTAAAACGCCAGCCCTGAGGAGCCCTTTTGTTAATATATAGAATGATCTTTGCAAGTTTTTTTTAGCTTTTAATTTACGGATTAGCGTTTTATTCATTTCTGAACAGAAATGAGACCGAGGAATATTTCTCAAATATTCCGTGCTGCTGTTTTCTCGCACGTGAGGTGTTTGTTTTCCCACTGCATGCTTCCTTTCACTTGTAAGATTGGGCCAACATCAAAACACCACACACACAAAAAAAAGTGTAATGAACAATTTCTGACGATCGTTTTTCTCCCGGTGTAGACTAGAGTGTAACAAATATCCTTCGTGTTTCTTTTTTTTTTCTGTCCGTTCTACAACAAAATCTTACGTTTAATGAGATATAACTTTGTTGTTATAATTCAGTAAAACGTGTAACTTGTATATCATACACAAAATGATAGTTCTTTATTTAGTGATTACATTATTTTCAATTTCAAAAACATTTGGCAATTTACCTCTTGATAGGTTTATAAACAATAACCCATACCCACGTGTTGCGTTTAACCCATACCCACGTGTTTCGTTCCTTGTAACTTACTAGATTTTAAAACCAATAATAATAGCATTAATATAATTTTATTGTTACCTGCTTCAATCAGAATTGTGACTTTTTCCTTAGCACCCTGGAGGAAAAAAACAGTGAATAAAAGATTCCAATTCAAAGTCAAAATAAAGATGAGGGACGATCATTAGACTGTTTCTTAAAAAAAACAAAAACATTCATCCAAAAGTTATTGCTGCCAGGGAAAGGATTGAGAACGAATATCAAAGATAACACGTAAAAATCTCAAGATTTTAAAATAAAACAAAAAACGATAAGCTATTTTCTTTTCTAAACAATCACATTGTTATAAAATCTCGAGCACACAATTTAGAAAAAAATTGTATTATCTAATGAAACTCTGAGTTTCAATAGTCTTCCTTCTGAATTTTGTGGTCCTGATGTTTTGTAATGGTTTCTAGGCTCCAGTGTGCAATAAAAGGTCTGAAATATAATAATCGGATTACATTTCATTAGTAAATTAACCTTCTTACAATTATGGATACATTTTTTTTAACAAGTAGCTATAAATTAGATTAGATTATATCTGGTTAAGGCTATCTGGTCATTCACAAGCTACAAACCTTTTGATGCATATCGAATTTGTTATACAGACCTGTGAGCTTTTGATCTCATACAAACCTCTCTCTTTGTTCGAGGTTAATAAACATGTTGTATTTAACCTTTGATCTTCTGATAATGCAAAAATTATGTATTTAATCTGAACATGATGTTGTTAAGATTTTTTATGAGTTTCTTATCATGCACAATCTCTGTATTTAGTCTAAACACGATGTTATTAAGACTGTTATGAGTTTCTTATCATTTACACATTATGCATTTAGTCTAAACATGATGTTGTTAAGACTTTTATGAGTTTCTTATCATGCACAAGCTCTGTATTTAGTTTCTGTATTTAGTCTTAGCATGATGTTGTTAAGACTTTTATGAGTTTCTTATCATCTACACATTATGTATTTAGTCTAAACGTGATGTCTTTAAGACTTTTATGAGTGGCACGGCGGTATGTCTGTGGACATACAACGCTAGAAACCGGGTTTCGATACCTGTGGTGGGCAGAGCACAGGTAGCCCATTGTGTAGCTTTGTGCTTAACTTCAAACAAATCAAATATATTGCTGCGTTAGCTGCCTTTAATTCATTTTTATGTTTTTCACAATAAAATATATATATGACCAATATAAGGAACCAGTAATAAGTGTACTGTTTTATTCGTTTCGTAATAAGTTTTGGTTTAAATATGATAAACAATGATCTTACTTCCACATATTTTAAAACTAAATTATTTTACCTTTATTTTAACAAGAACTACTTGATAGATATGTCTTAAAGTTTCAGCTACAAGAGTTTGTTTGTTTGTTTGTAATTAAGCACAAAGCTACACAATGGGCTAACTGTGCTCTACCCACCACGGGGATTGAAACCCGGATTCTAGCGATGTAATTCCGCAGACATACCGCTGTACCACTGGGGGGGGGGCTGAGATATAAGAGTATACATATGGGTATCTAGTAACTTTATATATTTGACATTATGCTGATATTAAATAGTCTGAATTAACATTTCGTAATTTCATTTAGGAATTTCCAAAACATCCAGATCAACTTTTACCTCAACGTTTTCCTGTAGTCTAGCTCGTAGGAAATGGCTTACAAATAGAGAGAGTAGAAGAGAGAATGGAGGCAGGTTGAGAACTGGCATTGATATTGAACATGGAGACACGGAAAATCAGAACTTATCGACTTTTAATAGCGCTTTATACATGTCCACAAGAAAACGCCCGAGTTCAGAAGGCGACAACTTGAAGAATGAATGTCTGAAGAGTTCCACGAACAGAAAATTTGAAGAACAAGTTTAGCTGTTTAAAATGAAACGAAGAACGCTTTAAAACTATATTTTTTTTTCTGTAAATCTAAGTAATTTGATTTCCATACTGCTATATGAAACCATAGTTTTAGCGACGTTTCATGTTATATGAAACCATAGTTTTTCCGAAGTTCCAAGATCGCATACAAAATCGTCTAGTCTGCAGAGCAAGTGGTAAGAGCAAAAAAAGGTATTTCTATCTGTCTCGCTGTGGGTCAGCGGTTAAATCCGGGGTTCGATTCCCCGTAGTGGACAGAGCACATGTAGCCTATTGCGTGTTTTCGCACTAAATCAACAACATCCATCTGTCGAGAAATGATATCTTAAAAACTCTAACGACGATAATAATAACAAAATAAAACGGTTTTCGAAAATGCCATAAGCCAGTTTTTTATGAATACATAAAACACTATTAAACCGATTTTACCTCGAAAATGGAATTATAATCGGTACAAACACAGTATGTTTGAACTATTATATATTTACATTATGAAATTCAAAAACGTTTTCACACCATTAAAAATCCTTAGACCAATAAAACTTCATAAGACTGCGTGTCAATTGTTCGCGTTTAATCGCGTTACCGATTAAAAAAAAAAATCTCACTCCCCACTTTGTGGCAGTGAGTGCATTATAAAAGTGTCGATCAAATCCTATTCTTTGATAAGAAAATAGCAGTCCAAGAGTTGGTGGTGAATGCTGTTGCCTAGCTGCCTTTCGTCTAGAGACGGCTAGCACGGATGGCACCGTGAACAGCTTTGCGTGAACATCCTATTTCTTTTAGCAAGCAATGCTTATAAAACATCTCTAAACGTGTGCTGTTATAAATAAAATTAACATTAGATTATGATAGCCATGCCACTTAACAGTTTAGTATAATCATGTATTTCTGGTATTATATATATATATATATACATTTTTTTTTACGGTGTTTCAACTTTTAGCCATCAAAAAATACTTCTTAATGTTGATTACCACTGCACTTAGTAATTATGTAAACTAGGAAATCAGTAATTTCAATGAAAATCCTATTTGGGTAAGTTTAAACTATAATCCTCGCAAAGACGTAACCCGCTATATATATTGATCCAATAAAATCCAGAAACATCTAGGCGACAGCTGTGGTGTGGTATAGTACGAAACAGATATCATTGAGCGGATGGATGCCTATCGTAATAATTTGTGAATAATCTCATCAGCTTAATTTTCCACTTATGACATATTCGATGGCCACTTGAATTACTTGACAATATCCTGATGAAATCAACTTAAGGGCTCATTCAGTTTGATATAAGCATACAATGAATGCAACAATGTTTGTTTGTTTGTTTTTTTCTTTTCACATAAGCATCGACTAATGCCATGGCCATGTGTGAACTTTCACACAATTGTAGATACTCGAAAATTAAGCAACCAGTGCTTGTGAATATTATGAATTAAACTTTTGCAGCTCTGATTGGTTCCCTTTGTATTCTAAGTTCCACACTGAAAAGACACCCTTGATATACATAATGTATGGCTGTAACTTCCTTGTGTGTACTTAAGCTAGTAAGTAATTACCTGTTATATATATTACATGTTTAGCGACACATATTTAAGTAAGAAAACTTACTGTATTAAAACCTAACCCTGTAAAGCTGCACAAAATGTTTATCCCATATTTGGGAAATAATTGAGTTGTGTTGTAAGAGGTTGAGGCTATTTTCGTGAATTCTTGCAAGTGCTTGTAATGTAACGCGTTTGTTGTTGTACTCTGAACTTGCAACTGCTTGTAATGTAACGCGTTAGTTGTTGTACTCTGAACTTGCAACTGCTTGTAATGTAACGCGTTAGCTGTTGTACCCTGAACTTGCAAGTGCTTGTAATGTAACGCGTTAGTTGTTGTACTCTGAACTTGCAAGTGCTTGTAATGTAACGCGTTTGTTGTTGCACTCTGAACTTGCAAGTGCTTGTATGTAACGCGTTAGTTGTTGTACTCTGAACTTGCAAGTGCTTGTAATGTAACGCGTTTGTTGTTGCACTCTGAACTTGCAAGTGCTTGTAATGTAACGCGTTTGTTGTTGTACTCTGAACTTGCAAGTGCTTGTAATGTAACGCGTTTGTTGTTGCACTTTGAATTTG